TACTTAGAGGAGAGGGATATGGTGTTAGCTGAATTAAAAAGGCATTTGTTGAGGGATCTGCAAATCATGAAAAAGCAGCAGATGGGCGCAAGAAGGACGTGCAATTTGAGATAGGTGATGAGTATACTTAAAGCTTCATACCTATAGACAAAGGACGACAACTAACAGGAAGAATGAGAAGCTGACACTGAGGTACTTTGGTCCCTATGAGATACTAGAGAGGATTAAAGCAATGACTTATCGATTGAAGTTTTCTCCGACCGCTACTTTACATCCGGTGTTCCACATGTTATAGTCGAGGTGAGCTATTGGTGATCATACATCCATTTTAGTGATACCCTTGACACTGTCAAGAAGATTTGGAGGTCATGTTGGAACCATTCAAGCTAGAAAGGGTACAGCCGGGAAAGAGAGGGATCTAGGAAGTGTTGATAAAATGAAAAATGTTACTAACTATGACCCTACATGTTAGTCGTGCGAGAGGGTGAAGCAACAATTTTCGTTTTTCCACCTTGAGGATAAGTTGAGACTTTAGGAGTGGGGTATTGTTATACCAGAGAAGAGAGAGCCGCCAACCGGCCGGCCCAGACCGACAAAACCCAACAGAACTATTGGGCAAGAACCAGAGAAACTACATGGAGGGGCTATCGACCCCAACCATTAAAAAAGCTGACGAGGCGTCCGCATTGAGTCGCGCCTCAAGTCGAGGCGGAAGTCATGCGTATCAGGGCTTACGCCTCGAACCATCCAGCGAAGCCTAAGATTTTTTCGCACAAGGCGTACACATTAGAGCGTAACGCCTCGAGGCAGAATGAGGCACCGCCTCGAAATTTTTCTTCAGTATATATGTAAATACGACGCAGCCGATTCGTGTTTGTGTATTCGCGTATAGGATTAGGGCTTCCTGTGAGAATTGAAAGGCGAACTAGAGGCGAAGCCGTGAGGGAAAGAGACGAAGCCGTGAGTGCAGGAGACGAAGTCAGAAGGAGACGACGCAGGAAACGAATCCAAAAGCAATAACGGTTTCGAAAGCAGGAAACGAAGACGAAGTTGTGAGTGCAGGAAACGTTCAGGCCTCGGTTTGGTCGGAAGAGCAGGTGAGCGGTGTTGTGGCCTTGACTTTGAGGTGCAGTAACGAAAGCTTGAATAACTCCTGATTCAGCTTTCTTTCATTCATCCGCTTAGTACATGCTCGGTACCGAGCAGGTACAAGCTCGGTACCGCTTAGTAAATGCTCGGTACTGCTCAGTACATACTCGGTACTGTTAGGTACATGCTCGGTACCGAGCATATATAATAAGCATAATTTCAAAATTACTCTTATAATAAAATTTTGTTCCGGGGGGCGCTGCCCCCGAAAACCCCTGCAGGGGCGCTGCTTCTTGACCTCGCGACCTGACCGGGCAGGTCGAACCTCGCCAAGGGGCAGCGCCCCCTTGGACCCCTGGCAGACTGGTACATTTTTGTATTCATGTTGTTTTATTATTGGTAGTACAAATAATTGTTAAAATCTGTCTTATTATTAGCATGACTAGTGATACAAGGAAAGATCCTACATGAAAATATGGAACTCAAGTTAAAGTGTCTAGCGAAGGTGCAAAGAAGGGATATGTTTACATGAAATGTAATTTCTGTGAGAAACGCATAACTGGTGGCGTTAAGAGGTTGAAGGATCATCTAGCATGTACTCATGTCAATGTGGGACCATTTGCAAAAGTACCTGATGAGGTGAAAAAGAAATGTACAGATTATTTAAAGAAGTTTGCCACCATAAAGGAGGTTACACAAAGAAATATGAAAGAGATAATATGAAACTCTTCTTATTATGGATCACAGCATGAAGGTTCCAGTAGTGAAAGCCATCTAGTTTCTTCTAACCGAGGCACTCGAGGTCCTATGGATAGATTTATGATAAATATTGATGACGAGGATAACATAAACACTTAGGATCTTCAGCCTCCTACTGCTACAAAAGAACTCAGGAATAGGGTTTGTTTGAATATCGCCAGATTCATCTATGAAAATGGGATTCCATTTAATATTGTTAGAAGTCCTTCATGGATTAATATGTTACAATCTGTTGGAAGCTATGAAAGAGGACTACAACTTCCCAGCATGTATGAACTGAGGATTTGATGCTGAATGAGGTCAAGACAACTTCAAAAATGGTGGATGATGTTAAGAAGACTTGGATTGAGACAGGAGTCACAATAATGTCAGATGGTTGGTCAGATATTTGACATAGAAGTATTATTAATTTTTTGGTCGACAATCGATATGGAACAGTTTTTCTAAAATCAGTGGATACTTCAAGTTTTGTAAAGGATGCACAATTATTGTTTGAAATGTTGGATGAAATTGTTGAGGAAGTAGATGATGTTTTAGTAGTACAAGTTGTTACTGATAATGCAAGTGCATATAAAGCTGCAGGGAGAATGTTAATGGAGAAGAGCCTCACCTTTACTAGACTCCTTATGCTGTACATTGCATTGATTTAATGCTTGAGAGGTTGGGACAGTTGCCTCAGCATAAATCAGCCTTATTGAAGGCCAAATTCGTTAGTAAGTTCATATACAATCATTCTTGGGTACTCAATTTGATGAGAAAATTCACTGACAAGGAAATTATTAGACCTGTTGTTACGAGATTTGCTACTGCATATTTAACATTGCAGATATTCAAGGAGTTAAGGCAACCTTTGGAAGCTATGTTTGCTTCTGAAGAATGGGATAAAAGTTCATGGGCAAAAACACAAGAAGGAAAACAGGTAAAAAATTTGTTATGAAAGATGATTCATTTTGGCGCAGTACAAATTATGCTTTAAAGAAAATAACACCATTAGTTAAGGTGCTTAGAATGATTGATGGTGAGAGGGCCCCGACTATGAGATTTATTTATAAAGCAATGAATAGGGCTAAAGAAGATATTACAAAAGATTTGAGAGGTCAAGAAAGTGCCAACAAAAAATATGGGATATTATAGATGAAAAGTGGGATCGTCAATTACACCAACACTTACATGCTGCTGCATACTATTTAAACCCTCAATTTCATTATGATAAAGACTTTCATGTTGATAAAGAGGTAAAAACTGGTTTGTATGCATGTATGGACAGACTCATTTCTGAAGAAGACTACCTCAAAGTGAATGATCAACTTGAGGAATTTCATCTGAATAAGGGAATGTTTGGATTTAGAGCAGCACAAGCATGCTACAAAACACAATCTCCTAGTATGTTTATAATTTATATATTTATAATTTTAATTTTAAAATTTATGTTCAAGTCTTATACTTCAATCAATATTCATAAAATATTTTTCATTTTCATGTAGAACGTTGGTGGAGTCAGTTTGGAGATGATGTTCCTGAATTGAAAGCTTTTGCAGTTAAAGTTCTTAGCCTAACATGTTCGGCTTCTGCATGCGAGTGTAATTGAAGTATCTTCAATCAAATTCACACTAAGAGAAGAAATCGATTGGCCACAGATCGAATGAACAAACTTGTTTATGTTATGTTTAACAAAAAACTGAAAGATAGACATCTCAAATTACAGAAGCAAGGAAGCATTGATAATGAAATTGACCCTTTACTTGTTGATGATTTACGATATGATGATGAATGGGTTACTCCTAAGAATGTTGATGTTTCTGAAGTTGAAGTAGAAAGAGAAACTCAAGACAATGAAGACAGTGAAGCAACTACTCATGTATATAAAAAAAAGAAACAAAGTGAGATTGGAGCTTCAAAAAAATTCAGAAGTATTTATAAATATAATGAATTATTTTTTTATACTATTATTGTTTCATTCTAGAGCTAACGAAATATTAACTGATATAGGGGATAAAAGAAAAAATATTATAGACGAAGAAGAGTTTGAGGATGACTTTGACATTAATTATGAAGATTCTTCTGAAGAAAATCAAAGTGATGATAAGCCTGCATTGAGTCTTGATCCTAAAGAGATGTTTTATTTTTAAGTGAGTTTATTTTAAATCTTATTTTCCAGTAATATACTAATGTTATCTTAGAAAAAATCATCAAATTCATAATTGATGTAATATTTTGTTATTTTTTGACATTTTTGTCATTATTCATAATTTTAAATTGCTTTATTTTTATAATTTTTTAGGCTTACGCCTCGCTTAGCCAAAATGCCTCGATTCCCGATTTCGCCTTTTAAAACGTTGGTCGACCCCCCTTGTGGGGCCTAGAAAAGTTAATATTCATTATGTAAAGAAGGGAAAGAAGTAGGTATGTTTTTATGTTGCTAATTGATTAGGAATGTTTCCTAAATTATGTTTAGGGTAATTAGGAAGGGGTCTAATTATTTAGAAAAGTTTTCTAAATTATATTTATGTTTATTAGGAATATTCTATTTATGTTATTGTATTCTAAGACTATTTAAGGGGGAGTTGTCTAGGGTTTAGTTTATGTTATTGTTGAGTTTTATTTTGATATAGTTATTGTGGGTTCCTAATGGCGTCTAGGGTTTGTGGGAGAGCTGGTCTACCTCTCGAATAGTAGATAATCCAAAAATTAGCCCTATATTGATATTCCTACATTTTTCTTCTCTTTTACTTGCTATTTTTGCTTCACAAAGCATCAAATTCCTTAAGTCCTAACGCCCAAACATCATACATCAAAGATCCTTGTGTTTCTTAAGGTATCAAATTCAACTTTCTACTAGAATTTTTATTGATAACTGATAAGTCAGCATTCTACTTTCCAAGTCTTGCTAAATTTTGAACCCGTTTCCATCATGTCAAGCTCATGCTTCATATTTTAATTTTTTGGCATAATATAAATCTCTGGAACTTGAGGAAATTATATATTAATCATGGCTATCTTTTAGAGTTATATAGTTGCTAGCAGCAGTAAGCATTAGTTAAGTAAAACCATAACATATTTTCATAGGATGTCCTTCAACAATAAATAAGCATGGCTATTATGCAGGGAAAGAGACAAGAAAAAACAAAAAAAAAAAAAAAGCATAAACCTACCGACTTCAATAACACCTTTTTAAATTAGTTGCCTTGTGCCCAACAACATCAATCCAGCTAATATCTACACACGCTAGCGTCCCCAGATAAGAAAATCTGTAAAAAGTATTGCAGAATAAGATGGACGAAATAAAGTAGCAATAGAAAGAATTATAAAACAAGGAAACGTAAGGAATAATAAGAAAAAATAGGCTCCCTCTATTATTTCGAAATAAAGCATTTAAGAAGAAAAAGACTAACGAGTTGACGATCATCAACTAGCAAGAAACATCAACCAATATACTATCTTTCATAACTGCAATGCAGGATCCACACCATATTTAGTATAGATAGTTACCTGAATCGATCATAATTCTCCTGTTTGAGTAATCAGTAAATTCAGTAGTCTTGACAAGCGGTAGCATATTACCACATGTTCAAACTTTATTTCAATAGCAATTGTTCAAACTCAAATGGCGTATCAGGTAAAGAAAGCTTAACATGCTGACCACCCAGGAAGCCCTTGCTAATTGAATTTTATTCCATCTCAAATGCACTTGTAAACACCTCGTCGGCATTTAAGGGGGTATGATCCAACATATGACATTTCTGAGGTATCAGTTGAGATATTCTAAAAGCCTCGTCCACACTGCCTTGTTTGCAGAATCCCACCATTAGTACTCTGTAAGTAGCAGCATCTGGATAAATCCCACAAGTTACCATTTCATCAAAAAGATTTGCTGCTTCTTTAAGGTTTCCAACTTTGCAATATCCATTCATCAAAGCTGTGTAGGTAAGCTTATTAGGATCTATACCATTAGCACTCATTTCCTGAAATATGTTGCGTGCTTCTTCAACGTTACCGATTTTGCAATACCCATCAACCAGTAAAGTATAGCATACAACATTTGGTGTGATGTCATCCTCCCTCATTATCTTGAGAACATCTCTAGCTTCTTGCATAGAGCATATACTGCATAATCCATGCATAAGGATGGAATAAGTCACTGCAGTTCTTGTAATTCCATTGATTTTCATTTCATTTAGAAGATTGGATGCCTCCTTTAAATTACCATTCCTGCAATATCCACCGACAAGTGAATTATATAAAACGTAGTTTGGTCTTAAATTCCACTTATCCAATTCTCTTAAGAACAGCTTTCCCTTATCTACTTCATTGACCTTGCAATATCCTTCAATTATTATACTGCATGTAAAAACATCAGGGATCAAACCCTCCTTTTCAAATCCATTCAAAACTAAAATGGCCTCATTTATTCTTCCTGAATTGCATAACCCCTGCATCAGTGTGTTATAAGTGAAATTATCAGCTTTGAGACCACGTTTAACCATGCTTTCTTTAAGCTTAAATGCTTCTTCCAATCTTCCTTCTTTGCAACTTCCTGATATAAGTGTGTTAAAAGTTATATTATCCAATACCATTCCTTTCTCAAGCATCATCCTGAGAACTTCAACAGCCATTTTCATACTTCGGGACCTGCAAAGCCCATGAATCAAAGCATTAGAAGTTACTATGTTGGGAATAAAACCATTTTCTGACAACTTGCACCAAAAACCAACAGCTTCATGATGCCTCCCACTCTTACACAACCCATTTATTAGTACTGTCAAAAGTCGATCATTCGGTTTAAATTTCTGAGATAGCATCTCCAAAAATAACCAAATTGCAGAATCAAGTCTTGAATTTGATCTCAAAATCCAGGAAATGAGTAAATTAAAATCACCAGCAACTAAAGGAATTTTGTTCTTCAACATTTCCTTAAATAGACTCTCAGCCTGTTGAATCTCTCCGGAGTTGCACAAACCTTTCATAATCATATTGTAGGTAACCCTATTAGGCTCTATCCCTTTAGCCATCATCTCATCCTTCAACATCAGAGCCTCTGCAAATCGACCCATACTAGAGTGTCCATCTACCATGGTATTATAAATAAACTCATTAGGAGCAATGCCCCTCTCTATCATCTCCTTGAAGAGACAACCCACATCCTCAAACCTATCAGCTCTAACAAGGCCATTCATAATAGAACGGTAAGTCATAACAGTTGGCTTAACAAATCTGTTTTCCATCTCCTTCTTCAACGCAATGGCCTCTTTCAACATATTTTTCCTGCAAAGCCCATCAAGAAGAGCATTGTATGTAACAACATTAGGAGAAACCCTAGTACTCTCCATTTCTCTAAACAGGGCAAATGCTTCCTCAATATTGCCAATCTTGCAATGCAAGTCAATAACAGGTGTGTAAGAGTAAACGTCCGGTGAAATAAACCTTCGCATATCGTCGAACACCTTGAAGGCGTCCTCATTCTGTTTGGTTCGGACCATAGAACAGATAAGAAAATTGCAAGTTTTCAGTGTCGGGCAAATCCCACGGGCAACAAGCAACTGGAATGCATCCATGGCGAGCCTTGGGACTTGGTAGAATTGAGAAGCGCAAACGTGCACCAGCACGTCAATGGCCATTTGGGTAGTCTCCGGCGGGGCGGATACCGTGAGCGCCTCCACTAGCTCGTGGAGACGGCGATCCTGAACATCAAAGATGACGGGAAGTGAGCTGGAAGGGTCGAGAAGGCGGATGAGGAACAGGCGAGCGGGGGTAACCAAGCCGGAACTGAGAAGGGAGTGGAGAAGGAGAGAGTATGAACGGAGGGTAAAAGAAAACCCACATTGATCCGAGGCGAAGGAGAAGAAGCGAAGGGCGACATTGACGGGGACGGAGGGGAGGAGCTGGGTGAGCAGGACTTCACATCGACGGGGTGAGAGGCTTGAGAGAATCTGACGGCAGAGGGAAGGATTGAAGGAGGGGCGAGAGAGTAGGAGATGAAGATCTTGAACTCCTGCAAAAGCGAAGGCATCGTCGTCCGGCGGCGGTGAAGCGGTAGCTGAGGTGGTGGAGGAAAAACCGTTGGCTGAGGAGTAGAGGAATTTGAAGATCTGCAGGAAGGAAAGCGGTGGCTGCTCAGCGCGGCGCAGGCGGATCATGCCAAAGTTACGCGGGGGAGGGGGGTGTTGGGAGAACGGCGTGAGAGAAGTGGGTACTTTGATTTCAGCCAAGAAGGTATGGTTTTGTAATTAGGTGAAATATTAGGTCCTAAAGAGTAAAATGAAGGGAGAAACGTGGGTCTGAGAAGTCCACGTAGGAGGCTCGCGAGTTAACGACCCGAAAGTTTCGGTGGTCGGGCATTTGATGGAGAGTTCAATGAATAAGTCGAGTTTAGTACATGTCAAATCGTTCTTTTATTCTTTTGGAGCAATTACATGTGGTGTTAAAATGAGTTTTAAGTTGGGTTCAAATTAAACTTGAATTTGACCCGGACTTCAAAACATTCCACCCCAATTTGACTCAATTTGAGAAATGGGTCATAAACTTCGACCGGGACCTCATCCACTTAAAATCTGACCCACATGGCTTGTCGACCTGGGGAAGTGGACGAGGTCAACGGAGGCGAGCAAAGGGTGGGCAAGCGGGTGCAGCCGCGGGTGTGAGCGCAGCACGAGGGGGCAGAGGTAAGGTATGATTGTGCGAGCTCGAGTGCAAGTGCGATGATGGAAGCACAGGTGCAATTATGCTAGCAACAGCGCAACTGCGTGGGTGCGAGCCGCAAGCACATTTGTTTGCTATTATCATATTTTCAATGTTTTGATCATAGCATATACAAATGCATTGATTAGATGATTCAAGAAAATTAATTTCTGATACGACATCACAAAATTAGCTTGATCGGGCACAAATCTCGTGGCAAAAGTTAGTTGGAAACTTCAAAAATTAATTTCAGGAGCACACAAACTCCGATTTCAGCTAGTTTATAGTCAAACTGAGCGTCTCGGAAATACGAACCCAACGACACCAAGATCAACCCAATCTGAGCCCAAATGAGTCCGAATCAAGGACCCGAAGCGCTGTTGGAAGGTCTAAACCGCAATTTGAGTTACCAAACGGTCTCCGATTTTAACGAGCTTATACTCGAATCGAGCGGCTCGACGAGACGAGCCCAAGATCGCCGAATTCCTACATCATTAAGGCTTCCAAATGTCCAACAAACGGTGCACGATCGAAGGGTTCAATATCGACCGTCCATTCAAACCACTCCCTATTCACCCATGATCTCACACCTATTTACGAGCCATGTCACTCCAGAAAAATTATAAATAGAGCCCTCATTCTTGACAAGGGGGACTCAAGTGAAGAGAGAGAAGAAGAAGAGAAGAAGAAGGAAAAGGGGAAAAGGCGAATCTCCTCCTCCTTGACCACCGTCGGAGCTCTTCCTGCCGCCTGAATACGCCGGAACTCCGCCTGATTTCGAGAAACGATGGGATTTTGCAAAACTTTGTAAATTTGCTTCAAGTTGTAATCTGATCGTCCCGATTTGTGGGACGAATCAGTTTCTTGTAATTTACAAAAACATTAGTGGAATTTTACAATTGGGCGAGGCCCCGTGGTTTTTTCCTTTTTTCGGTTTTCCACGTAAAAACTCTGGTGTTCATTCTCTTTTCGGTTTGTGTGCTGAATACTCGTGCAACGCTAAGAAGAATATTTTCTAACTCTACTGCCACGTATATTCTAGCACGCAACAATTTCAATAAAAAAATTTATGATAATCACATCTAATTATACTGAGAATATTTAACAAAAAGAAAATATAAAAGTAATGAAATACAGAAGAATGTTTTGCTAGAGCAGGAAAATATGAAATTTCAATAAAATGTTTTTTAGTGTATAAAATTGTGTAAACTAAGTTTACCCCTCGTCTGAGGAGTGTAAGTGAACTGAGCTAGCTCGAGATTGACTCATTAACGAGCTCACGAGTCAAGCTTATCGAGCAATGAGTTCGAGCTCAAGTCCATACTCGAGCTCATATATTTAACGAGCTCGAGCTCAAGCTCATCTTGGCTCGACTTGTAAGTGTTGAAATCTAAAAGCTCAAGCTTATGTTTTGATGATAACAAATATTATTGGATTTTATCTAGTTTCTCCTACTTGTTATTATTGTATCTATTTTTTGTGTGTACTGACACTTCATGTACAATATTACCAAGCATCGTCAAAGGATCAGGGTTCAAGGCTGGATAGAACATGTTGATGTATGCAAGAATATGTATTATATATTTCTTGAATCATTGTATTTTAAAAAGGTGCATGTTAGCGTAGCAACCATACACACATGTACCTGGGAGTGAAACATAATGTTTTAATTTTTCTAAAGATCGTACTAAACGATTTGGATTGTGTTGTACAATTTGTTCAATCAAAAATTACTTAAAACATTTAAATTAAGAAAATAAAAATTTAGATTAAGATAAACTAATCATATTATATGATTAATATTATATAGGACAATCAGTTTACATTTAAAAATCCATGTCACCATTTAAAATTAAACAATATTTTGAAAATTGAAATTTGTATTATTCATACAACACGATACTAGTCATCTTATATGATATTAAAAAATCTTGCCTAATTAAATACCTAAGATAAAGCAATCGAATTAGAAATTAATTATGATAAGTGATCATGCTTCATGACGTGAGGTTCGTACTGTACAAACCGAATGGCGACCAAGACAATAATTAGTCTTTAGGCATCATCAAGGATGAACTTTTTTCGATTAAACTAATCATATTGTATGACTTTAATATCGTACTGGATGATCAATTAAAAATCTTTGAACTGATCGTACATGGAAATAACTATTGTATAATACTAAAGGGAGAATTAAAATAAGCGATTGTACTGTATGAATTATGACGACTGAATTGAATTTTTGGATTTTTCTTGGAGCCTCATATTTAAAAATCTCTTATTTCATTTTGAAGAGTCTTTTGGTTGTTTGAAAAATTATGAGAGAGTTCTTTGTGAGGGTTTGTCTTCTTGAGAGAGCTTAAATAGAGATAACTTAGAATTTGTGAGAGAAATTGGGAGAAGTGTGTAAGGGAGAAGTAGTGTGAGAGAGATTTTCTCACGGTTACTCTGAGCAAACTTCAACCTTAGTTTTTCCTTGTATCTTTGTTGATCTTGAGGGAAGTTTTGTTGAAGAAAGTTTCAAGACCAAAGAGCGTCGATTCTTTGTCTCACTAGGAGGGTGAAAATGATTTTGTTCTAAGCCACAGCGGGGAAGATGAAAGTGATTTGGTTCTTAGCCACACTAGTGAAAGTAGAAGTGATTTGGTTCTCAGCCGCACTGTTGGTAGAAGTGATTTGTCTAAGGGCTTTTGTCTTGTTGTGGGGGAAAATGAGAGTCATTATAAAATTTAGTATAATACCGAGAGATAATGACTCAGAGGAGTGGATGAAAATAGAGTTTTGATCAAACCACTATAAATATGGTATCCTCATTCTTATCTTTTCTTACCTAAATTTATTTTTTCTTCATGTTCATTTTCTTACAAATGTGTGCTGAGATTCATTATCATTATGATATGAAAATTTTTTGGTATCTACGTGAAATCAACTTGTGTAAGAAAAAGAAATAAAAATCTCTCTCTCTCTCTCTCTCTCTCTCTCTCTCTTTATATATATATATATATATATATATAAACAAAAATACTTTGATATTTTTTTCCACAAAATTAAAAATAACAAAAAAATTTGTTTCATCAATTGCTTTTACATACTTAATTTGATTTAAGTTTTTCAAAAGAGTATATTTTAGAGGAAAATTTTTAAAACATCAACTCTCTCCTCCTCTTTGTGTGCCTTCGGCAATTCAAATGGTTTAACAACCTTATTTATACTTTAAGTATGCTCATTGAGCTACTTTATTAACTTAAAATATATTTTAAAATTAATTTAACATAGACTCATATAATATATTTTCATTTTTAATATAATTATATAATAAAAATAAAAATTCTAAAAAATTTAATTTAAAACTATGAAACTGACTTCAATAATCAGGTCAAGCTCGAGCTAAATGACCTCGAGCTGAGCTCGAGCTTATAAATTTTTTAACAAGCTAAGCTCAAGTTTAGTAAATGAGCTCGAGCTCAGTAAGAACTAAATAAGCTTAGCTCAATTAAATAAATACTTAACTCATTTACACCCATGCTCAGCCCCTTATTTATAAATTTGGGTTGAGGAGTAAGCCTTACATATAAAGTACTACATACATAACTATACATGAAATGAGAGAAAATGCAATATTTGTGTAGCCTAATTAGAATGACTAATTTGATGAAGTCATATGTCAAGCTTTAAAGTAGTTGTCTTGATATATATTGATAATAAGATAATTGAGCTAAAGATCAATACTTTTCTTTGATAAGTCATCCCTCATTGAGTAGTCATCATGGCAAACTTCATAGAAAGTAGTTGTTGGGGTGGACTAATAAGCTTTACTTTTTGACTGAGACAAATACTTAGGATTATTGTTACCATCTTAAGGTGAGTTCTCTTATAGCCTTATAGGTTAGCAAGTATAAGACCAAGCGTATCAAGCTAACTTGGCTTGATTTACCATAAACAGAATCATCTTAAATTGACTTGATTTTTTTTATATATTTAGAAATATATTTAGTTACCTGATTGATTTATATATTTTAATGTTTAGTTTAAAAAATGATTATAAATATTATTTATTAATTAATGATTAGCCCTTCATAAATTCTTATTTTAATAGTATATATTTGTCAATCAATTTGATGTTGACTTGTAACATTATTCTTTAGTCCACATTAGCTGATATTTAGTCTATAAAAGAAGGATCATTAATTCTTGTTCAAAAGCTTGTTTCTTAATTATTCTTTTGACTGACTTTTAGTTCTATGAATCCTCATTCTTGTTAAAAATGGAGATTCCAAAGGATAAGATTAATATCTTGAAGGAAGACTACATTGCTAGCTTATTCAATAAGTGCAAGAAAAAAAGAACTTCTAAAAGAAAAGAAGAAGAAGAAGACAACGAAGATTGAAAAGACAGGTCAAAGGAAAGGTATAAGAACTCGTCACCTTGTTAATGCCTCTGGATGACTAGTATTCTTCCTTCCGTATAACTATAATCATGGATGCTGATCTGCCAATGACTACTCTCCATCAAGCTGAGGCTAAAATTGGGATAAGG